TCTATATCTACAAGTGGTTGAATATATATTTGTCTTCTATAACTTAAAACGTGTTAAAATTCTGGGAGCTAACTACCTATTTTAAGGAAGGTTAAAGGTGACATAAATTTAGGACACCCAATTTAAGTAACTTATTTTCTATTAGAGTGTTTGGGATAAAAGAGCAAACATTACATAGTAACAGTCTATCGTTCGGAGTTAATACCTTCGTGCTTTTAGATTTTTGCCTTTTATTTTTATTTCTGCTGAATTGGACATAAAATTTTCAACCAAGGATTTGCTAAAGAGATAGGTACATATTCTGTTATTTAATAGTGTAATATTATTTAATTTTAGTATCAGGTAGCGCATTAAATAAAATTGCTTGATTCTTAGAAGGAAACTGAATTGAAGTATTATTAAGCTCAGCAGAGTATGATGCATTGTCTTAAGATTGTTTATCGTCAGTCATGGCTGTTGACAAATTTTTGGAGTCGTACCTGATATCATTTGATAAACTCAATCCAGTTATAGAACCAGAAATGATTCTGATACCAGGCCTTTCGGCCGCCACATGTTTTTGATATATAAAATAAGAATAACTCACTTGTGAATTCCGTTACGTAGCTGAACTGTATACGGTCATTTATTGCTTCTGTTGAAGTTTATGTCAATGAAGATTATTTTAAAAAAGAATTTTTCGGGACTGCAATGTAAACACAATTTGTATTACTATGTTCAGGACCGGTCTCCTTAATGGAGACCTTTATTTATTACTTGGCAATATTAATCTGGAAAATGTATATTTTTGGGCGGAATACAATCTGCTTGCATTGAGACAAATCAAGTCCCAATACAAAATTTCTGTAAATGTGTGATACGAAGCTTTATATTTTATCCAAAAACATTTGAAAATGCTTCGTGAAGATTTGAATATTGTGGGAAGGTTTTGTCAATATAATAGAATTTCTCATCACTTTTGAGTAATGAAAAGAAATGTTTCGAATCATAACTTCTTAAATATACAGATAACCGTTGGTGGACCACATGTTTGGCCTGCACGATCGTTCATTTCAATCCTGTATATGATAATTCCGTTTCTGGGGATATTTAAAATCTTGTGTGTGTATTAACATAATAATACCGAAGAACTTAATCGACATATTGAATAACGTGTCTGTAAGATTACAGATATTTCAATGGGAGTAAGAAAATGCAACAAGAAAAATGGTACACATGTCCAACAGGTTTATTTTTTTTAAGTATTACTTTTACAGCTATTTAATAAAAAAATTAAAATACGTTTAATCAATCAAGCAATGCTGATATTAAAGAATAGTTGAGAAACTCTTGCATTAGCTTACTTCAACAACAACAATGTAAGTACAAACGTAATTTTCATAGAAATTACCATACTTAAAAAAAAAAAACAAAAGGATTTGCTAAAATTAAATAAACGAAAAATCGATAGAGATTCTCTAGTACGCAGCAAGGCTGATAAGGGAAATTGTGTTGTAATCTTAGAACAAATTCAATACATAGAGAAAAAAGAATATTTCCTTTCAGATAACAGTTTTGTAATTTTGGAAAAAAATCCACTTAACACCTTTAATAATAAAACAAAAGCAATTGTTAAATTGTTTAATGATACTAATACGAAATATAACAACGGAAACTTAAGGCCATATAAAACAGAATCCCATAAGGCCTGCTGTAAGTTTTTATAACTTTCCAGTTTCTATTTTAATATAGTTTATTTACAACACAATTCAGTCTATCACTACTTTTAAACCTAATTTCTCCATTAAAAATTTTTTAGATCTAATAGAATGTTTAAATAACAGTAAAATAGAAGAGAGTTTTTATTTAGTTTCTTTTGATGTTTCCAATTTGATTACTTCTGTACCAAGAAATGAAACATTACCTTTAGTACACAACCTTCTAAACAATGACAACATACCAGCAAATACAAAGATGCTATCTTAACTATGATTAAATTCTGTCTTGATCAGGAGTCCTTCCAATTTATTCAAAAAATATATAAACAACAAACAGGTTTAGCAATGGAATCCCTATTATCACCTTTTCTAGCTGATATTTTCTTAAAAAGCTTAGAACAGATATTTGTTAACAACAACAACAAAATAGTTTTTTGGTCAAGATATGTTGATGATTGTATAGCTCTCATACAGGGAACCCAAGATAATACTTTACAGATTTTGAATGATCTTAATAACCTGAATCCTATCATCTCTTTTACATTGGAACCAGAATCTGACCATAAGTTGAACTTCTTGGATATGACTATACCTCGTGATAAAGATTCTCTAGAGTACAATATTTACAGAAAACCTACTCAAATAGATCATATTAAACATGAAACATCTAATCATCTAACTCAACATAAAATGGTTGCTTTCAACAGGTTACTCAATTTCCACTTTCAAATGATAACTTTAATTTAGAACTTAATACTCTTAATCAAATTGCATTCAATATTGGTTATGGTCCCAACATTATCCATAAGCTTCTAAATAGAGCTAAACTCAAAATTGCAGAAAAGCTTGCATATTAATCGCAATGTTTTCTTTAATCTAATGCTTCAAATAACATCAGATATTTCTCCTTTACTTATATTAGCAAAATTTCCATTAAAATATCTAAACTTTATATTTCTACAATTAAAAACATCAAAATTTCCTTCAAGTCACACAACACTTTAGGTTTCTTTTTAATCAATACCAAAGATAGCATGAATACACTTGACAAAAGTGGTATTTATAAATTAATATGTGATGATTGTGATGCCTCTTATGTAGGTAGAATCATTAGAAAGTTATCTACTCGAATTTCAAAACATTTGAAAAAACCAAACTCTTCAAGTTTTGGTCAACACTTATTATCCAGTAAACACAATTTTAACATTAATACTAGTTCGTCTAGTTTACATGACATTATTAGAAAGAAAAACTATTTGGAGTTGGATTTATTGAAAGATATGATATTGAAAGAGATTACAAAGGAAACAAATGGAAACTCTCACGGTCTTAATTCTCAAATTTATTTACGTACGTATTTATGTACGTACATGATATAAAATGTACGTTTTAAGTACGTACCAAAGTACACTGGGGTACATACCAGTACGTACAGAAGAGTACGTTTTATTACGTCCTAAGTATGTACCATGAGAAAGAAGAGCTAAAGCATATTTATTATGTTAGGTTATGTTAACCTAGCCTAATTTATTTGGTTAGAAATTTTCCACCTCCAGTACCTACAGTTTTGATGTGATAATTCATTGCAAGAGAGTTTCATTTAGATTTTTTTTACTCATTTTTGGTCTGGTGCTTATAGTGTGCTTTCCTATTTTGGATCTTGTTAAAAGGTGTATGAGTACCTTAATTAAAAATAACTAATTATAGCTAGCTTGGAAGACGTGAAGACGAAATAAATAGGCATTTTACAAATTCATCGTTGCTGCAGTTATAGTAGGTAAGATGTTTTGATTTTTAAGACTGTAATTAAATGCATTATGTAACGAAGATATATACTATACATTAAACTATAATTTAAAGGGTTTAAAATAAACCATTTAAGGGTGCTAAAGGGACATCAGTCTTAAAACGGATTTTTTTAAATTATTTTACAAAACAACCCACTTCTAAATTTCTAAATATTTAGAACAGTTGCAAAAATGATGACTCACAAGGCAGACATAGATTTAGCCATATTTTTTGTTTATATGGGTATATTTCCATGGGTTAATTAATGCTTCAGTTGAGGATGGTTGTGATAAAATATTCTTTATCAAATATATCCAGTTTTATCATTTGATATTCTTTCTTTATAGAAGCGGCAATAAAAAGTCAAAAATGTAGTGATAAAAAGGTGGCGGATCAAGAAATTGGACGATTGTTGAGGAAAGCTGGGGATCGCTTAAAAACTTTCAAGGAAAAGGAATTCAAAATAAAAATTGAATTTAATTTATTTTTTTTTTAAATAATAAAAATATATTCAAGCTGTCATATGTCATATGACATCAAAGCTGTCATATGTCACATGTCACCTTAACATTTCCGTTAAGATCGGGAGCCATTCTCTCTCCTGTTGCGGACCATAATGTAGCTTCGCCTATTTTAAAAATTTTAAAGTGTTTGTCCTTGTGTAGTGTAGTGTTATGTACAATTTTATATTTAAGACATTCTATAATTGTTGGATAGGCCAAAATTGACGAAGTATGTCTAAAACTGTTAATCACATTAAATCTTTTATCAACCATTAACTTTGAGTTTTTTATTAAAGTTATTTAATTTCTTTAGTTAAAAAAACGTTTCTTGGTTTATTTCAGATGCCCATGAAGATGCTTTAGAAGGCGAAAGTATTTGGGTAAGATTTAATTTTTAATTTTAATAATAAAACTGTGCTCGATATCTGCCTGTCATTTGATCGTAGTTTAAAGAAAAGTTTATATTAAATACTAAGAAAACTTGTTCAAATTTAAAATTATTTAACTATTTTGTATTGTAGTTAATTAATCCTTTTAGACATTTCAGATTATTCGATTAAGATTTTTGTAGTAGCTTGTCACGCAACATCAGAAAAATAAATAATTCCATTAAAAATTTTCTACTGTTTTCAGATTTACAAACAAAATTTAAAAAATCTGATATGCTTGGTTAAATTTCCCGGTTTTGATATAAGTAAGCAGTTTAGTTGATTGTTTTTTTTTTTTAAGTAAAACACATGTTTTAGATATGATTTAATTAGACTAAGTTCACCACAAGTTTTGACCATCTAAAATATTAACAAAATAGATAAAACATCCTCTATTAGGTTTTTTTTAGTATTTTTAAGGTAGTAAGACTCAATAAATATGGGGCTTTAAAATTGGATAAGTGTCCTTAATTTGCGCTTAACATATATCATTTATTAATGAAATACTCTATATATTAACGAAAAAAAAAATAGTATTCCTCTCCATATAAACTTGAAAGTTTAGTTATTAAATGTTTACATACCCAGGAATTCCTCCGCTTTCCATGTAATTTGCCAATGTCACATCATTAGACCAAACATCAAACTGCCATTTTCGCAAACCCAGGACTCCACAATGCACTCTTCCTGTATGAATTCCAACTCTCATATTCACATTCACGTTCATGACTCCTCTAACTAGGCTAAAATAAATAAAATCTGTTAAGTTATGATAATAATTAAGTATTTGCTGTACCACAGCCGCCTTTACTTCCAAGCCATGAAGTAGAAATTTGGCAACAACGCGTGGTAGTCCGACCGTGGTTTGTTTTGTTTAATATTTCATATAGGAAGGCTTGTAAAGTTTATAGAATTTAGTGTTTTTTTTAACTTTATTCAAATGTTTTATTTGTAAATTGTGTTTAAATCAATTAGGAAATATTAATATAAGTGAAATTTCATTAAATTTAGAACTTTTAGAAGATTCTTAACGACAATTTAAAAGGCAAGTATAAATATAACCTACAAAACAAACTGAAAATAATAAAACTTTTGCTTCTTGTTACAAAATATGTAAACTAAAAACAACAATAATAATACTTTTGTTTTTTGTTATAGATGCGCTGGTATTGTTGTGTACCTGGTTGCAAAACCAATTATGCCAGTACTTTAAAAACGAAACAGGCAGAAAGTACGTTTTCGTTTCCCAAAGATCCCCAAAGAAGGTATACTGGGTTATGCTCTATTCATAGAGAAGGCTATACAATTACCAAATCTTCCGTAGTATGTGCCAAACATTTTCATGAAGATGATATTCAGCGGACTGAACAATGAGAAGATAAAGATGGAAATGTACACATTGAAAAGTTAATATTTCCCAAATTAAAAGACAATGCAGTTCCTAATATATTTCCTGAAGTACCATCATACGTAACTGTTCATCGTACTAAAGAAAGAAGGACTCCCGTAGACAGAAGAAACTTTTTGCATGAGAAGAGGGAACAAGAGATAACATAATTATGACAATTAGACTTAGACAATAATATCCCATTGACAAACTGGACAAGTAAAATTACAAGTAACTGTGAATATTTCTATGTATTAAACAGTAATCAGTTGGGACACAAGTGTGATAATATTTGTGTAATACATAGTGTAATAGTTAGCAGTAATTTTAGTGTAATCGTCAATGTAGATAAGAATAGATTAAGTAGTAATGATTTGAAATGGATTTTACAATATAGTAAATTAACAAGATGGTCACAATTAGATAGGTAACTTACTTTCTCATTTAGATCTGCTTTTTAGATAAGTGATAACAAATTTGAGTATTATATTCAAAAATCTTTTGAGAATATAGGCTATTTTAAATCGATATACAAGTTATAATTGGTATGTTACATTCAACACATTTTTCATGTAGGTATACCTCTCTTAACTTGGTGTATATGACAAAAAAGCTATTCATATTTAAAATTGCTACTTTATACCTAGGTATAAAAATTCAACAAAAGTTATAAGTAAATAGTAAAATATTTAATTTTCAATTAGATTAATTTAGAACCATATTTATATTGTGTCTGATTTCTTAGGATGAATTTTTCAATCATAATAGTTAGGTACACTAAGTTTTTACTGAACAAATTTTATGTCTTTTGTATTTTTAATATTCCTTTTAAATGTCTTGTTAATGTATTGTGTTATTTATATGCTTAAGTACTTAATATTTAAAGTTTCTAGAGATTCTTGACTGCATTTGATTGTAAGATTAACTGTTTGACACTGTATTTTAAGTGCAATAAATTTTACTCTAGTGATTTTTTTATTGATAATATAACCTAACTAATAATAAAAATTTATATATATTTATTCGGTAAATATAAGGTTTTATTAATTTAATTTCCCTAAAAATATTTCTGTAATGAATTGAAGTTTTCAAAATATCAGTTTCGTAAAATTCAAATTCGTTTAATTAGGTAGACCTTACAGCTGATTATCGAACTACCCACGTCATAGAATGCGGTGTTGCCTTTTTTACTTCATGGCTTGGAAGTAAAGGTGGCTGTGGCTGTACACATAGAATTTATGCTATTTATGTCATATGACGAATGTGGTCCATTATAGTCAAAAACATATTTTACAACTAAAAGATAATATTTATTAAAATATAAACGTGATTGTACACAATATAAGAATAAAATCATGTGAAAAAGCAAACAAGATAGTTGATTAGATTATACTATTAACTAAAACAATTTGTATATACCTATAAAAATATATCACAATTGCTAGGTATGATTGGCCAAGTTGAGCTCATGGTGGCACCCTAATTCTTTCTACAAATAATTATTTCTCCCCTATAACAAAATATGACTTTCTGTTGATTGAAGTCTTTTTTAAGTTTGCAACATCGATTTGTTAAGTAAGGAACTAGCCTTAGCCTCACGTAATATGATCTGTTTCGAAGGAATTCAATTCAACATCTTCCAAAATAACATATTTTTCTTTGTTCGAGTCTCATCTTCGATATTCTTTTTCGACCTTCTCTTTTGGGTTCTAGTACAGCTCCTCAATCTGATGTTATTTTTAAATTACAAAAAGGGCAATACGGTATCTTTTTGGTCTCAGTAGAATAACACATTGCAGAAGCTACTTCAAAAATCACGGTATTTTAACTCTTTCCTTTTTATCGTTTCTAAAAACTATTTGCTTAATTCGTAAACACCTACATGTTTTTTCAGCATGACTACTCCACTTGAAATTCAAGCTTTGATGTGTATTGATTTACCGATCCCGTCCATTGAGTTGGTAAAGAAATTTATAAAATATTGTTACGATTTTAAATATTATTGCGTATAAAACTGTAAATATATTATGACTAATCACGTATTTTCTAGATCACGCACCGGCCGAGACGCAGGTAAAAAACAGGTAAAAAACCTATCTGACACTATGGGTCCCCCTTCGATATGAAAGCGGTCAACTACTACTCGATCTTCCTGGAAATAGGCTGCTATAAAAAAACCAGTTCAAGACTATTCAGGTCAACTTCCGTCTACTTCACGCCAGATCCTTCCAGATAACGGCGATTCAAATAAATAACGGCGATTCTCATTGAGGAGAGAAGATCGCAGATATCGGGTTAAAATTGTATCAAACGCAAATAAATTATTTGTAATTATTAAGTGTAAAATAAATTATGACTAATAAAATCATTATAATATATTCGGCAAAAAAAATTATACAACCGTCTCTTATGAGATGGTGATATATTATATATATATATATATATATATATATATATATATATATATATATATATATATTATATATATATATATATATATATATATATATATATATATATAGATATATATATATATATATATATATATATATATATTCATATATATTCATTTATATATATATATATATATATATATATATATATATATATAAATATAATATAATATTATACAATACAATACAAGTAGTATCAAGTTCAAAAGTAGCTGAGTATTAATACGATTTGTACAGTGTGAGTTTGGGAGCTTAAAAACATTACAGTCGCTACTACCACAAAATATATTAGAAACAATTAGCTATAACTGCAAAAGAGACTGCTACAAAACATGTAGCTCCAATAAACATTGTTTTAAAATTATCTAAATATTATACTATTTGCCAAGGGCCAATTATGCAAAAAATTGGAATAATTTCCAAGACATCTACGGAAATTGAGGTGAATATATATGATATAATATAATATGATATAATATGATATAATATATATAATATCAGTATGAAATACTGATTGTGATGAGAAGATAGCCACAGAAAAAAAATTAAGGATGTCTTACTAGAACCTCTTGAAGAAAAAAATGCGTTACAGTTAACACACGAAGAGATTCATGATGAAGGCGTAGTAAAGAATACGTTACAGAGCCAAACCGTAAAAAGCCTAAAATAAAATATTAAATAATGGAATACAATTAATTTATAATGAAAATTAATTTATTATGAATTCATTTTTCAGTTGTGTTAAAAACCGATTTTATCAATTTTATTATTTTATAGTTATCAGTAAAATAAATTTTATAATTTGAAATAACATTTTTAAATGATTTTCACTGATTACATTCCGTAATTTTTTATAATTTATATATGTATATATAGGATGTTTTATTAAGGATTGTGAATATGGTGACTAGAGATACACAGTGTTTTATTACAAATATTCTAAAATGTTTTGGTAATTGTTTTAACACTTTTCAATATTTTTTGCTAAAACTTGATGAATAGTTAGGATACTTTTACTGGTGTTAAAATACTACGCTTACGCTAGTATGCCAGGATCGTAATAATGATTTCACCATGTTTTTTTAAAAACTTTTTTGTGCTCAGGTTTCTCCAGTTACCATGTGAAGAATTTTTAATGAAACAACCTGTATACTGCGCGGCGAAAGTTAGAGATATTGCCAGTATAATGGTCATGGTACTTCATTTTGCATTAATTATTTGTTATAAATAATTAAAAATTATTACAGTTTTTAAAAAACATGAAAATTAGAGACCTTTTAATGTGAACGAGACCAAAAAAAGCATTCTAAGTATTAAAAAAGTAGCTATACAACCATTTGAAAATGGCCTTTGTTCTCTCAAATGGAATAAACAAATATACTTGTTAAAAAAGTAGCATAACAACCAGAGGCACGTTCATCAATAGAAGTGTACAGATATTATTGACCTACGCAGATAGCATTAACGTAGTAACACAGACTTTTGAAACATTAGAAAAAGCCGCGAAGACAGTGGGACTGCAGGTCAACGTATCCAAAACAAAATACATGAAGGTCACGAACAGCACACAAATAGGGGCACCACAAGATCTGGTCACAAAAGCACACACATTCCAAGGGGTCTCGGAGTTTGTATATCTTGTAACACAACTAAATAACAGCAACCTAGTAAGCGCAGTAATTAAGAGAAGAATATACCTGGCGAACATAGCTTACTTTGGACTAAAGCAGTTCTTAACATCACTCATAATTAGTAGAAAAACCAAGATCCTAATATATGAAACTTTTATTAAACCTGTCCTCACATTCAGAGACTTGGACATTCAGAGATGTCAGAGACTTGGACTATGGTAAAAAGCGACGAAGAACGAGTCGCTTTGAAAGAAGAATACTTAGACAGATAT